AGCAAGGGATGATGGGAGTTGGAGTCCAGAGGCCTCTGCATGACCCAGGGACCTTTAAACGTCCACCCAGGGATCTGGAATCTACTTCTCTGGGAGCTTGTTGCAACGACCACCGTCTTGTGACCGGGGGTTGATTTGTGAGGGTCTTTCCTGTGGAGAAGGGGCTGTGTCCCAGAGGAAGATTGTGGGGGGGTGGTAGAGCCCATTCTGTCTTGCCCAGTGCTTCAGGTCAAAATAAGACTTGAGATGCGATGCAATCTTCCAAGTATCTAAATGACTGTTGTGGAAGATGAAGCTAGCTTGCTTTTGTGATTATTAAATTTGTTGGCCACTATCTTGCCCAGGGCAACCCAAAGCAGCTTAAAAACAAACAAAAAACCCACAACGGTACACTAAAACGGGTGGGTGTGTGGAAATACATTTAAAACCCTCTACTCAAAGGCCCCGTTCTTGTGTTGCCACTCTCCAGACTTCTTGTGGAGGAGGGCCTCTGGTGACAATCACAGCAGGTCGGTTGATAAGCGGAGAGGCAGTCCTTTAGGTATAATAATAAAAATATTTTTTTATTTATACTCCGCCCATCTGGCTGAGTTTCTGCAGCCACTCTGGGCGGCTTCCAATTGAGTGTTGAAAACAGCACAGCATTAAATATTAAAAACTTCCCTGAACAGCTGCCTTCAGATGTCTTTTAAAGAGAAGATAGCTGCTTATTTCCTTGACACCTGATGGGAGGGCGTTCCACCGAGAAGGCCCTCTGCCTGTCTGGTTCCCTGTAACCTCACTTCTCACAATGAGGGAACCGCCAGAAAGCCCTCGGAGCTGGACCTCAGTGTCGGGGCTGAACGATGGGGGTGGTCCTGAGCCGTTTAAGGCTTTATAGGTCAAAACCAGCGTTTTGAATCGGGGCCCAGAAACTAATGGGCAGCCAGTGCAGTCAGCCCAGGGTCATTGGTATATGCAATGCTGAATACGGGGTTCTCAAAGAGGCTGTGGTCATTATTACAATTTATTACCCTCCTTTCACCCAGAGATCCCAGGGTATTAACAGTTCAAAACAACTTGCAATCTCAGAAATAAGGCAAGACCTTTAAAAAAAAGAAGTATGCATCATCTCAAGTGTCAAAAGCCAGGTTGTAGACTGCAGCCAGCAAAGCTGTAGTCCCAAACATACCAGCTGGGGCAGATGGGAGATGTTGTCTGGCAACATCTGTATGGCACCAGGTTGTTGGAAACTACCAAGCAGCTACTTCCCATCTATTTTTGTATTACAACTCCCATCAATCCCAAACATGCAAGTCAAACAGGCTTTCTGCTGCTCTGGAGGGCAGGACCCAAAGTGATGGACTCAAATGACAGGGAGGGAGATTCTGACTCGACATTGGGAAGAACTTTCTGAAGGGAAGAGCTGTTCCCCAGTGGAGAGGACTCCCCGGGAAGGCAGTGGGCGCCCCTTCCATGGAAGTTTCTAAGCAGAGGTTGGCCGGCTATCCATCGCGGATTCTTGAGCTGGATCCCTTCATTGCAGACAGTTGGATTGGGTGGCTCTCTGCCCACTCTGCAATCCTATGAAATGCCTTCACAGCATCACAGGTGTGGCTTCGAGAGCTCAGGAAATGTCTAGCAGCAGGCAGCAGCAGCAGCAGCATCTGGCCATGTCCTGCTTAATTCCTTCCCTCTGCATTCATTTGGGGAGAGTGGATGTTTGTGCTCTTGTTAACTGGCCGGCAGTACGTCCCAACCTACTAGCAGTTTTAAATGGTGCCTGGGTATTGACCATTTTCGAGCACCATGGCTCTGATCCTTGCTAGTGATGCCATGAAAAGGGTTTGGGGGTGAGTACCTGGTTGTGCTCTGGAGGTAGATGACAGGGGAAAGAGTTCAGAACAGCTACCTTTGTCCCTCTGAGAAGGTTCAACCTCCTGGCCACGGTGTCCTGCCTCCCCAATGGGAGAACCACCCTCTGCTCACCCTAGTTTTAATACCCATGGTTTAAACTGCGGAACTCCCTCCCACAGGAAGCAGCGACGGCCACCAACCTGGGTGGCTTTAGAAGTTTTATTAGACCATTCCCAGGAGGAGAGGACGATCGGTGGCTCCAACAAGGATCGCTTTACTCTGCCTCCACAAATGGAGCCAGGGATACTTCCGAATCCCAGTTGCTGAAAGCCACAGGAGGGGAGAGTTGCTCTTGTGGGCATCTGGGTAGCCGCTGGGAGAACAGGAGGCTGAGCTAGATGGGCCTGATCCAGCCGATTCTTACTGTGTTCTCTGTGTGAGCTGACAGGTTCACCCTTTGCCTACGTCAGGAGCCGTATCTGGTAACAGCTGTTTGACAGTGGAACAGTCACCCTAGAGAGGTGGTGGAATCCTCTTCCTTGGAGGTTTTAAAGCTGAGGTTGGACGGTCATCTGCAATGGATGCTTTAGTTGAGATTCCTGCATTGCAGGGGGTTGGACTAGATGACCCTGGGGTTCCCTTCCAACTCTACAATACTACATTGGCTCCCAGTACGTTTCCGAGCACAATTCAAAGTGTTGGTGCTGACCTTTAGAGCCTTAAACGGCCTTGGTCCAGTATACCTGAAGGAGCATCTCCACCCCCATCGTTCTGCCCAGACACACAGATCCATCGCTGAGGGCCTTCTGGCGGTTCCCTCCCTGCGAGAAGCCATGTTACAGGGAACCAGACAGAGGGCCTTCTCGGTGGTGGCACCCGCCATGTGGAATGCCCTCCCACCAGATGTCAAAGAGAACAACAACTACCAGACTTTTAGAAGACATCTGAAGGCAGCCCTGTTTAGGGAAGCTTTTGATGTTTGATGCATTACGGTATTTTGATATTTTGTTGGAGTGGCTGGGGAAGCCCAGTAAGATGGGCGGGGTATAAATAATAAATTATTATTATTATTATTATTATTATTATTATTATTATTATTATTATTATTATTGACATGTACTAGGGAGTCTCTGTATTGCAGTGGCGCTCAACTGGAAGTATTTGCCTCCCTGCTCAGAGTGGCTCTTCAGAGGTGGTTGAGAAACCCAACAAGGTGGGAGAGTGAAGACCAGATAAACAGGGTGGTGGGAAAAGATGGTGAAAGGCTCAGGCCCATTAGGAAGGGTCCTGGCTTGGTGGTGGGGCCAGAGCCCGGGGGTAAGCCCTGCCCGAAAGCCTGGAAGGCTTCTGCCAGTCAGGGATGATGGGAGTTGTAGTCCAACAACATCTGGGGACCCACAGGTTGAGAACCGCTGGTTTAGACAATGCTGGGGTGAATGGACCAATGACCTGACTCCATGGCAATTTCTTGGATTCCCAATCAAATCACCCCTTTATTCAGACCATGAGGCCTGGGAACTTCATTTTGGGCGGGGAGTGCCACAGCTCTGTAGCAGAGTATCTGCTTTGCATGCAGAAGGTCCCAGGCTCTGCCCCTGATGGCATCTGCAGTTAAGGCTGGGACAGAGCCCTGCCTGAAACCCTGGAGATTCATTGCTGCCAGTTGATGCAGACAACACTGTGCTGCCAAGGAGGCTTTGGGTGCGAATCCTGACAACTCTAGGGTTCTGAAATTCTAGATGGAACAAATCTGACTTGCTGGAAGACAGCATCCTTTGCAACCAGACAAATCTTTGGCTGCAGGTCCCTAGGGAAAGAAGGAAGGCCTGGAAGCAGAGAAACTGTAAATCAAAGGTGTAAAAATGCTGGAAATTTGAGAGCATGGGCTTTAAAGGCTGCTCCTGTTGGCAGAATCTCTTTCCTTTCTTGTCTGGGAGCAGCAACCTTGATTTCCCCTTCGTGTCCAGAACACCAGTGGCCTTTCATGGAGAAGCCAGAGAACGCGAGGAGTGCTCAGCAGGCAGACCATTCCTACCCAGAGCCTCTCAAGGAAGGGATACCCATTGGCCTCCACCTGTGAGCAGTCAATATCTGGGGAGGCAGACCCCCTCCTGAAGCGTGGGGAAATGAGCCAAACGTGCATATCCTTTGGTGGGCCTTTCCAACTCTTCGATTCTAAGGGTCCCACCACATCCTGAATACACTTGGTACTTGGTGCAGGATTCTGCAGCCCGAGAACCATACCTGGGTCACAACACCCAAAAAACCATGTTCTGGTCCTTTAGATTTAGCTAAGGAGGTCACAAAGGATGAGATTCACAAGCTCCTTTATTTTTCATCATAACATCATAGAATAGGAAGGGACTGTCTGCATTGCAATCCCTTGATGCTAAAGAACTCCCAAGTCGAAACAACATTTTAAAAAATAAATAAAAAATTCCTTCCAGTAGCACCTTAGAGACCAAGTTTGTTATTGGTATGAGCTTTCGTGTGCATGCACACTTCTTCAGATACACGAAGGCTCATGCCAATAACAAACTTTGTTGGTCTCTAAGGTGCTACTGGAAGGAATTTTTTTTTAAATTGTGTTTCGACTATGGCAGACCAACACGGCCACCTACCTGTAACTAGAACTCCCAAGTGTTCAGGGTCAAGCTGCTTCTCTCTACCTGAGGACTGACTGACTGTCCTGGAAGAAACAAGCATTTCTGATCACTTACTCTCTTTATTTTTCAACCAACTTTATTTTTCTACAGCATCAGGGTTAGGGAGCCTTGGTCCAAACACCTGGGGAGCGACATCAGGTTGGCACCAACTGGGCTTGGGGCTTGAGCCCTAAGGCCTTCTGCCTGCAGATCAGCTGCTCTGCACCTCTGTGCCCCCTTGGCAGAGCTATTGGGGTTTTGGGAGGTGGTCTTGTGTCCTGTTTTGCTTCTGCCACCTGGCAGATGAAATCCCGCAAAATGCAAGCAAACGGGTGCCAGTTTGCACGACTTGGCAGGATTTCATTCTCGAGTGCATGTATAGACTTCCTGGGGTGGGACACTTGGTGCCAGTGGACTTTGGCAGGCAAGCACCTTTTCCCTCGGCTCCTCCAGACCCCCCCCCCCACTGATGTTTCCCTGCCCTCCCCTGGAGGGGAGCACACAAGTAAAGTCAGGGTCTTTGGGCTCGATCTGATTCTGCCTGTTTATTATGCAGCCTGGACTGCAGAGATCTTTCCCCCCAAGTCTGGGTGGGGCAAATGCTGGGACCGTCCATCTCTCTCCCTGAGACGCCTCCTCCTCCCTTTCCTCTTCCTCGGAGGAGGCTGGACAGTGGGGGGCCTGGGGGTGGCCTTGGGCAGGGCAGTTGGCTCTCTGCCCCCTGGTCCGGCCAACCCCGCAGGGTCGTCGCCAAGGATGGCATTGAACAGATCTTCCTCCCCTAAGTCCGGACGCCCCACGGGATCTTGGAAGTCCACCTTGGCCGGCTCTTGCTCCACCAGCTGCTTTGGGAAGGCGGCGGGGTCCTCTCTCGCCGGATGAGGAATGGTCGCAGCCTTTGCCTCTGCCTTCTTCTTCTTCAAGCCTTTCCCCCTTCTGCCTTTTCTTCCTTTGCCCTTGCCCTTCCGCTGCTTCCTGGGGGTGTCGCTGGGCCTCGCCTGGGGGGCAGGAGTGGTCCCAGCAGCTGCCACAACAGCCGGGTCCGGCTTGCGGGGAAGAGGAGATGAACCCGCCGACAGACGGAAGGAGGTGGTGGTGGTGGAAGACTTTGCCGGGGGCGGCTGATGGGTTGCCAGCCCGTCTATGAGCCCCCCACCATATTCATACAGCACCGGATCTTGTGCCACGGCAACTGCCACGGTTGTGTAGTTCTTGCACCTGGCAAAAATTGAGCAGACACAGATAACCAGGAGTTTCAGGGATTCCCTGAGCACACAGGGGAAACTTCACGGGCTGGGGGCATCACTTTGGTTCGTTTCAAAGTAGGGATGCTGAGGACTAGAAACCTGACCGCTTTTTAAAGCAGGGGTGGGAAATCCTGTGGTCTTCCAGGTGTTGCTGGACTTCAGGTCCTGTTAACCCCCGGGAGGGTGATGGGAGGTGAAGCCCAACAAATTTCCCCACCTCTGCTTTAAAATGAAAGAGGTCAAGTTTCTAGTCCTTGTGCTACCATTGCTTCAGAAGTCAGATGATTAGCTGGGGAGACGAGGTGTGTGTTTTAAGGCCTGGCAGTGCTTCTGGCACCCATAGCCACACACCTGTGACTGCCACCAGCAGAATAAATTACATGCATGGAAAGAAAATGTGCATTTTTCCCCATATTTGCATACAGCACATGTTTGCAGAATCAGGATTATTCTGGAGCAGGTTCCTTTTGTTTCATTTTAAGGCCAAGTCCAGCCAGCCCTGGTTACAGGCTCCCTTCTTGATAATTGATTTGAATAAATTCTGATCCTCCCAGGTGAGTTTTGCAAAAGTGCTTTTGTAACTGTAGAGCATAGAAAAGATAAAGCCCACTGAAACCAAACTGCAGCTTTTCAAGCAATGATATAAAAATCACGTTAAAGAATTTAAAACGTGCAACCTCATTGAAAACCGCAATTCTACCAGCAGAAAAGAAAACAAAGCAGCCTCTGTCTTGAATAAAAGCTAGGAATGGAGCGGGAGGCAACCAGGCCGGAATCCCCAGAGGGAGAAGAGTTGGGCAGTATGGCATAGTGGTTAGAGTGTCAGACTAGGAGCTGGGTTCAAATCCCCCTGCACTCAGCCATGAAGTTCCCTGGTTGTGACTTTGGGCCAGTCCCTGCTCTCAGCCTAATCTACCTTGCAGGTTTTTAAGTGCAATAAGAAAATAGCATAAAAATCATCATCAACAACATCCCCTCTGCTCATTCCTTCCCTTGTTTCCCTCTGCATTCAAAGCAGCCTCTCCCAACTCCCAGCCCCTCTGTTTGTGCGTTGATGGAAAAGCCCACTCTGTTCTGCTGCGGCAATAATAGCAGAGCCGTTCCTTGAGCACTCATCCTGCTTCTGTTGCTCAAGTTTGAAGAGGAGGTTGCTGGGGGCAGAGAAGGAACTAAGAGCCGCTTACCAGACGTAGAGATAAGGCTCCACACATTGCTCTTTGTAGGCAAATTCAAAGCAAGGCACTTGGATGACGTTGAAGAAGGCCTGGCCCACCACGCGGGAGGCTGTGTCGTTCACGGCTCGCAGGCATGCCTTTAACCTATAAAAGGAAGGTGGAGGGGTTTCCATTTCACTTATTCTGCATAGAATAAACATCTAGCTTTTCCATTTCAAAAATCCCAAGGGGGTTCCCTAAACACATCCTTTTAATTTTTGTATTTTATTTTTTAAAAAACCCACACTAGCCTTGTGTTGTGCATTGCAGAGGGTTGGACTGGATGACCCCTGGGTTCCCTTCCACCTCTACAGTTCTGTGCCGTTGGGGATTGAACCTGGGCCCTTCTGCATGCAAAGCTGGAGCTCAAACCCTGGCAACCCCCTGACGTCTTGGTCTTGTGTTGTTTGAGGTTTTCTGTTATAACACACAATAGCTGCACAGATTTCAGTCGCCTTATCTGGGCTGGCCTTGAAGATCTGGGTGTTGGGAAGAAATATATGGAGGGGGAGGCAGGGTTGAAGAGGGGCTCCTCCTCCTCACTTTTGGAAACTGCAGGGCCGGAGTTTTGCACGAGAGGCAATATCTCAGTTGGTTAGAGTGTGGTGCTGGTAACCTGCTAAGGTTGTGGGTTTGATCCCCGTATGAAACAGTTGCCTATTTTTGCATGGCACTACCATCACTACCGGGACGCGGGTGGCGCTGTGGGTTAAACCACTGAGCCTGTTGGGCTTGCCGATCGGAAGGTTGGCGGTTCGAATCCCCGCGACGGTGTGAGCTCCCGTTGCTCCTGCCAACATAGCAGTTCAAAAGCACACCAAAAAGTGCAAGTAGATAAATAGGTACCGCTCTGGTGGGAAGGTAAATGGCGTTTCTGGTTCGCCAGAAGCAGCTTAGTCATGCTGGCCACATGACGCGGAAGCTGTACGCCGGCTCCCTCGGCCAATAAAGCGAGATGAGCTCCGCAACCCCAGAGTCGGCCACGACTGGACCTAATGATCAGGGGTCCCTTTACCTTTACCATCACTGCCATTCTGTGGTTCTGTGTTTTGGGGGCCCTGCAGAAACTTCCTCCCAAACCCCGCCCCTCCCTTCCGCTCACCTGTTATCGCAGTCGCAGTGGCTGATGGTGTGCCATCGGAAATTGCGGTACCCGTACTTGTAGGTGAAAGGGTGGATGACGTGCTGGCAGTGGTCGTGTTCCCGGCAGCACCTGTCCGTCTCCTGATGAGCTCCTGAAAGAGGGCGGGAGGGATTGGAGGGCGGCAGGTAAAATTAAGAAGACCAGCCTAGGTATGGCTTTAGAAACACTGGCTCCACAAGCTCATCCCCAGTGTCCCCTGCCCTACCCCGAAAAAGCATCCTTCAGAATAGCAGCATGCATGACCCACTGAGGCAGAGGGCGACACAGTAAAATTCGCAACAGGAACAATAATAGAATTGGAAGGGACAACCAGGGTCATCTAGTGCCCAGTGTGGAGATCAAACCCACAACCCTGAGCTTAGGAGTCCCATGCTCTGCTGACTGAGCTATTCCTGGTGTCGACTGCATGTCTATTCAAAATCCACTTTAACTACTTAGTTTGGTTAATTCAACAAAACTGGTGAACTTGATGAGCAATGCCAGCTTTTCAAAGTCTGAGAGTTGCTTTCACCTCCAGCGCTTCTTGCTGCCCCCTGGCATCTTAGCACCCCCCAGGTAATCCCACAGTCCCCCTAAGGGGCACTGCCACCCTCCCTGGTCCAAGCCAAGCAGCTGCCCTTTGGGCTCCTCCTCCGGTCAGCCCCCATCATCATCATCACATAGCTGTGGTCACAGGAGGACACAGGATGGCCCTCTGTCCTGGATGCTTTAGCGGAGAATTCCTGTATTTCAGGGGGTTGGACTAGATGACCCTCAGGTCCCTTCCAACTCTGCAATTCTATGATTCTATGACACATTTCTAAGAGGAGAAGAAAAAGATGTTCATTGATGACTCCAAGCTCTTTTAAAGATATATATATATATTCATTTTTCATTTTCATTCATTACATCTCAAATTCTTAACGTTTACTATATATTCTCCCTCCCATCCAAGACTTCCTCCAACTTGCGTTTCTGGTTTGCTTATGTTTTCACCCACTTTGCTATCTCTTAACAGAAAAGGTTATTAATAACATAACTTCAAACCTAAAAACATAAAAAGAAAATTAAATACATCATCTTATTTCCGAATAGGATTCATCACAAGAAATAGGAAAAGTTGACAGCTATGCTCCTAGCTCTGACTTTCCCTAGAGACCTTAGATTCTAAGATCAATCATCATCATCAATAATAATAATAATAATAATAATAATAATTACTATTATTAACATTATTGCAATTTACTACCTACCCTGCATCCTAAAGTCCCAGAGTGGGGTGCAACTATTTATTTATTCATTTCATTTTATTTTATTTCACAGAATTGTAGAGTTGGAAGGGACCCTAAGGGTCATCTAGTCCAGCCCCCTGAAATACAGGAATTCTCCGCTAAAGCATCTCTGACAGATGGCCACCCAACCTTTGCTTAAAAACCTTCAGGGAAGGAGAGTCCACTCTTCCTGTCGGAAAGTTCCCCCTGACGTTTAGTTGGAATTTCCTTTCTTTCTTGCAACTTGAAGCCATGGGTGCGAGTTCAAGGTGGAGTAACAACAACCCTGTGAGGTAGGTCAGGCTGACGGAGGCAGTGTCTGCTCCAAGGACACCCGATGAGCTCCATGGCTGGTCTCCCAGGCCCTAGCCCGACCCTCTAAGCACTACGCCACACTGCCTCTCTCAAACATTGCGCTGTTCCATCCTTCCAGTCGTCAGGATGGAAGGATGGAAGACTGAAGAAACCCCAACTAAAGAATTATGGCAAGAAAAATTGATGGACTATGCAGAACTGGCAAAACTGACATACAAGCTACGGGACAAGGATAACTGTGACTTTAAAGATGAATGGGAACCCTTTACAAAGTATCTGAAGATGCAACAAAGCTAACTGGATTCCTTGGCTGGTTTAGAATAAACATTCACAAACCTTTTATTGATAATAATCAGCTAAATAGTTTGAGGATCTATACAACTGTGTAACATGCAGAAAACAGCATTTTTAGAGAAATCAAAAGACTGGAACTGAGGGAAGTCGGGGGGTGGGCGGGTTCTGTGGGGGGAGGGAGGAAAAATGGGGGGGGAATAAGGATGATATGTTTCTGGATAATATGTTTTGTTTTAATTTTGAATAAAAAAGTTATTTAAAAAACAAACAAACAAACAAACATTGCGCCGTTCCAAGTATCCGGAGGGCGCCAAGTTGGCGAAGCAAGAGGCTCCTGGCTGGAGAAGCCCCCCTTCCTCCGTCCCCTCCCGCCCCGTGCCTTCTCCATCTCCCGTTAGTTACCCAGTTCTTCGTAGCTCTCCGCGATGTTGCCGGCTCCGCACCAGAGTGTCCCCGGGTAGGTGAAGCCGCGCTTGGTCCGGCGCCGGGAGGAAGCCTCTCTGCCGTCCGCGCCGTCGAGGCAGGCCGCCTTGGCTTCTTCCATCCCGGGGAAGTCGGGCTCCGCCTCCTCCTGCGGCCCTGC